ATCCTCGAGTGAATTGACTAGTATTTACTCTTCATATACTTCTTAACTTTTCCATATGTGGAATTATTTATTGAATGAATAAAAGTTAATCAAAGATATTATATATCTTCAATTCATTCTTCATAGTCGAGATATTCTATACCTTCAATTCATTATCAATTCCTTCTCAATACTCTCGAGATTAATCATATTCATATTTCACCTACTTTCATCGTATTCAAACTCTTTTACAACTCAAGCGCTCTTACCATTATTCCTTTTCGAGATATTCAACACAAGCGCTCATCATAATTCCTTCCAACAACTACATCTTTATATTGTCTTTATTTAATAAATTAATATCTCTTTCCCCTACAAATCCAACCTCATCATTTCATTACGAATCAATCCATTCTCACAAAATGATGGAAAAATCCAAACTTCCCGATTCCGATCTCCCCAACTTTCAACAATCAGAATGTGAAAAACCACCCAGTCCACTTATTCAATCACAAGATTCACTTACTCATTCACAAGATTCAACTTCTCCTTCTCCCAAATGTTTAATCACATATGATGATCTCCCATCATGGCATCAAGATAATCCATCAATCTATACATCCTATCGACCTATCACTCACTCACTTCGGGAATCCCTCAAAACATTCTTCACACTCCATAACGAAACACTTAATATCCATACTCATTCTCTTCCCTTTTTAATAAGTCTCCTCCTCACCGGACTTATCTTTTACATCTTTTCCATTCATTTTCCCACAAGTCCATTGGTGGATCGATTTATTTTTTCTCTTTTTTTTCTCACAACTATGATTTGTATGGGTTTTAGTATGGGATATCATACGTTGATGAATCATTCTAAAGGGATAGCGGAGATTTGGTTAAAGTTGGATTTTGTGGGGATTGTATTGGCGATTTTGGGGGATTTTGTAACGGGAATTTATGTTGCATTTTATTGTGAGTGGAGGTTTCAAGTGGGATATTGGGTTATGGTGAGTTTTTTTTATTTGTGTTATCATCGTGTTCTTTTACTGTACATGTTCACACTTCCGAGTTCTCTTCCGTCTCCTTTTACTGTACACCTTTTCTCTTCTTAATTCTCTTCCGTCTTCTTTCACAATATACCTTCCCCCTCTTCCGTCTTCTTCTTTTACTATACAACTTTTCTCTTCTTCCCTCTTCTCCTTCTACCATACACTTCCCCTCTTCCTAATTCTCTTCCGTCTCCTTTTACCGAACGCCTTTTCTCTTCCTACTTCTCTTTCGTCTTCTTCTTTTATCATATACCTTCCCTCTTCTCCATCCCCTCCATTACCATACACTCCCCCCTCTTCCATCTTTTCCTCCTCCCCTCCTCCCCTCCTCCCCTCCTCCCCTCCTCCCTCCATCACCACCCCAAACATCCAAAACACCCACAAAAATAACCAAAAAACTCACATCATCTAGATCATAACTCTCACTTCCGCAACCCTCATCCTCCTCCTACATCCACACTTTCAAGGTCTCCGTTGGCGTACCTTTCGCGTATGTATTTTTATCGGAACCGGATGTTCGGCTTTCGCACCTATTATTCATGCCATTGTTTATTTTGGTTGGCATCAAGTTGTGAATGGAACTGGTATGCCTTGGTATCTTGGAGAAGGAGGATTTCTTGTTTTGGGAGCAATGGTTTATAGTGTGAGTTTTTTTCTTTCTTTTCCTGTTTTTGTGTCAAGGTTCCTTTATACTTTGAAGTACCTAGGAAGAGATAGAAATTCTACACAGGTCTGGTGTCTTACTTTATCAAGTAAAATTATCAACAGACAAATAAAAAAAACTAACATCAAAAAAGTTACGTATACCCGAATGTTATTTCCCTGGTAAATTCGATATATTAGGTCATTCACATCAAATTTTCCATCTTCTTGTGGTGGCAGCATCGGTAATGCATTTGGTGGGGTTATTAAAAGCTTATGAATATGAGTATTATTATCCGAGATGTTCGATGAGGTAATTTTTGGGGGTGGGGATGTTTGATGGGGGAATTGGAAAGGGAAGTTGGGATGAGGGGATTTTGGAAGAGGATGTAGTGGAGGTTGAGAATGAGAATGAGAATGAGGATGAAGATGAGGAGGTAATAAGAAATAAAAGGGGTTTTGGTGTTCGGTTTGGAGATATCATGGTATAGCATGGAGGGATTGAGATGTATATCTGGAAAAGTTCATGGTGATTAATTGATTGGTAAAGGGTTGGATGTTGAGAAATTCCCTGGGTGATGATAAAGTAGAATGTGTATGGATGGTTGTTGTATGAATTGCGGATAGATGGTAGATTGGGATAGATATGATGAGTAATGATAATGAATATGAGTTATGATTTTGATGGGAAAATAAAATTTGGAGAGACTTTGTTTTGATTGGTGTGATGTCCCCCTTAAAATTATATATTCGGCCTCCACGGCAGTGGCCCCCGGAGGGCTAGCGGAGCGTCACTATTGATTGATGAATATGGAGAGATGTCTTTGGTTCCGGATTGAGTTAAGTCACAATTACCGAAAGGCCAAGGGGAAGTATGACACTATCAACTATTAGCACATGACTCTTGGATCGTACTCGGGAGAAAATAATTCATCACGAAGCTAGAATCACGAGAAATACCCACAAGTCAATCTACTCAGCGGTATCGATACTTGGACTTTGTCAATCCCTTTTTTTTCTCCTCAAGATCCACGAGATTTATGGAATACCATCACAAAATCTTGACTTGTTAAGCCCTTCATTGTTTACCGTTTTTTGTTGAGTAGGTAAGCATCACAGATTGTTCAGGCGAATGATGTCCTCAATGGATGTTGTTGTGGAATGACCCCTTCATGGCTCGTCAAAAAATTTCCCCTTCATAATTCGGCAAAGTTCCAACCCCTTTCATATGTCCAAGTCCTTCAATTTTTCCCCAAAACGAATTTCAACACAACCACTGGATGAATTTTTGGGAAACTTTGGGAATTCGATGAGAATCTATAAGTTTATGGATTCCAAGTATAATATATCGATCGGATGGTTTTTTCGTCGAGATTCTCTCTCCTTTGTTGTATTTTCGTCAAATTTCCACCATCTCACATTCTCCGTTTCTCAATGACAACTCCAATAATGGATGAAATCTTTTGAAACTTGGGTGAAATGTCCCTCTTTAATAGCTTTATCGAGTCTGCAAAAAAAAAAGTTAGTCAAGAGCGTTATTGTTGACGTTTCGCTGGATTTACTAGATTTTTCTCGGAAAATTCTCCCTCATTCCAGATTCCAACACAACCAATGGATGAATCCTTCTCAAATTTGGGTCGCAGACTCTTCTTCAATCTATTTATGATTGCTCCTGTGAAAATCTGATTTTAAAGGTCTTGTTGATTATTCGGAGCGATTTTTCCTTGAAATTTGTCTGTTTTTTAGTTAGAACCTCGACAACTTTCTTAATATGATGTGCGAAATAAAGATATACATACCAAATGATGCAGAAAGACTCAATGCATGTTTCACCCCTAAGTCCGATGATTATTTCAGGTTGTTGTGGTCGTTGATGGTGTTGTCGCTGTTGTTGTCCGAATTGAAAATTGGCAAAATGGGAGTTTGAGAAGACCTTTGATTCGTAAAGTCGAGCGGACCGCGAAATAATTGTTAGTCCAGTTGATTAATTGAGTAATGAAGAATAGATGGGTATAATTTGAATTAATTTATCTCAAGTTTTTGTGATTTCAGTGGTGGTTTTGAATTTGATGTTTTTGACGTTTTTGGGACTTGAAGTTTTTCGAATCTCAAAATTTTGGGGTTTCGAGATTCTGAGATTTTGAGATTTTACAAAATGAAAAATTTGGGAATCGAAACTTCACTCCAAACAAGAACATATTTTTCTATTTCAGATATTTCTAGAGGTAAGGCTGAGGCAAAGACTGAGAAAAATAGCGCTTCCCAATACAAATAATCAACACCGAATCACAACATCTACCAACCATACCATTTTTATCCGATTCGAAGGAGTCCGCTTCTCTGCGGAAGACGTATTCAACCACTATTGAGAATATTCGACTGCAATATTTCAGATTCGAACGATTTGGATGCGATACTTTAGGTTCGAGCGGGTTACATGCGAAATGATGGATGATCTGGAAGGGGCGATTCGAAAATCGATTTATAAATCAAATCAACAACAACTGGTATCATTCTGGATACGATCCAAAGGAAATAATTCGAGAAGCTTTCATGGAAATGAAGTTCATTCGAAATGGAATAGAGGTGTTGAAGTTTGAGAATGCATGTAAGAAACTGGACAGAAAACAATCTTCTGCGGGGTCAAATATATTTATAAATTTGCTAACGGAGATCGAAACCAGAGATTACAATCCAAGGGATCAGACCGTTCAACGAGAACCGTGTAGCAAGTAGGATGATAATACCATTCGAAATCATATGGGAGGGAGGCGGGGCGAGAGAGCGGGCGAAGGAGGGCGAAAGAAGTTATAAAAAGAATGAAATCGCCTACATTCCTTGGATCAACAAGTCTGCCGCCTCATAAGTCTCCTGCCTAATAATATGGAATATATATTTGTATCGACAGATGGTAAATTTTTTCCATTTCTCTCTTTAAAAAAAAAACTTTTCCTAACCCCCTCTCTAGGGAATTTCTGTTCGGCAACGGGTAGATAAGAATCTTTAAATGGCTTCACCCACATGCCAAGAGAGAAGACAGGCACACCAAGTAATGAGTACACCAAGCGATGATGAGTTGAGAAAGCCGAAGCAATGAAGAAGATGAGCACTCCAAACGACGAAGAAGAGGTCACACCAAGCGGATGACGAAGATGGAACACCAAGCGGATGATAAAGATGGAACACCAAGCGGATGATAAAGAGGGCACACCAAGATGGCACATCGAGCGACGATAAGATGAGAAAGCCGAAGCAATGAGCACACCAAGTGATAGAACATATCTTTCAAATCGTCCTTATATTTAGTCAACTTCGAATTGAGATCATTCACTCGTTTCTCAAGTTGTGCGATTCTACCTCAATGATAAGTACTACACATAGAACTCTCGGAAATCGTACCCTGAGCCTCATTAGCTGTCTCTCATATTCCGAATTGGAATCCAAAGCGGCTCGAAGTTCATGTTGGGTGACTTCAACCAGATCATTCAATCTTTGAATCTCTAATTTCAGACGTGTTTGATAACTTTCTCGTTCCGAAATCTCACGAGACTGTTGTGAAACCATATTTTCCAAGCTCGAAACCTTGTCCTTGAATTCTTTACGACACTCCACTAATTGGTAATCTTTCTCCGCCATAGCTTGAATATGTTCTGCCATCATCTTTTGCCTAGCAAGTTGTGCCTTTTCTCGAGCAATTGCATTGCCTCCTCTATCCTGTTCCCGAATCTTTCTGGAATTATATAAAGCTTTTTTACTTTGTTCCAAATCAGCAGATAACTTTTTAATCTTTTGATCATATTCCAATGTCAAGCGATCAACATCATCCGAATTCTTGATTCTAGATATCATATTTTCAATATGTAAATCTTTGGTAATGATTGAATCCGAATATTGCTTCAAAAGTGCTTCATTACTCTTCCGAATACTCTCCAAATTACTTAATTCGGACTCTAATAATGTAATCTTCGAATCTCTCTCCAGAACATCAGCATTTAGACTTCTATTATCTGCTTTGACACTCTTCAATTCTTTCTCTAATTCTTCAACATCCATATCCCATAGCGTTTTTTTCAATTTTTGATCCTCACTTGAGTCCTCGAGGGCTTTGGTTAAGTCCTCAATTCGAGCTTTCAAACCAGGCACTTGCTCTGCAATGGATTTCACATTCATCAACTCCTCATTGGTCTCTTTCAATTGAACCTTGGATGCATTCAATTCATAATCCATAGTAATCGAACCAACCTCTGCTTTTCGCAATGCTTCTTGACGTTGCGTATCTTCCTTTTCCAATTGTTCAACTCTTACCTTTGAAATTGAAGATTTCAAGATTTCTTGTTGCAAACTTTGTTGCCCCTCTTTGATTAATGCTTCCAACTCTGTAATTCGAGCCGATTTGGTAACAAGTGAACTATCAACTTGTTCCTTATCCTTGGAGAGATTATGATAATCCAATTTCTGCTGTGTGATATCATTCTTTAATTCCTCATTCTCACGAAATAATCTATCCTTCTCCTCTCGGAATCTAGTAGATTCCTCCCGAGATTGCATCAATTCTCCATCTACCCTACCTTTCTGCTTAGAAATTTCTTCATTTCGACACGATAATTGTTCGTATTGTTTCCGATAATTCGCAATTGCTTCCGTTTCGATATTCTCCTTGTTTTGGGTTTTCAAAGCACTGAGATTGTCTTGGAGAAATTCCTTTAATTCATCACATTCAATGCTGGTGGTAGATGAATTTTGAGTAAGATCCGTAATCTTACCAGTAAGCACTCCAACTTGTTTTAACAATTCTTCGTTCTTACGTGTCAATTCGATAACTTGACCTTGTCTCTCAACCAGTAAACGTTCCAACATAATTTGAACATCAACAGATAGAGTGGAAAGCAATTGTTGATACTTCTTTATCTTCTCTGCACATTTTTCCGTCATCGAATCATAGGCTTTAATTCGGGCATCAATCCAAGCAATAGCTTTTCGAGATGCTTCCAAGATTTTATGTCCATTCTTAAGAAGTTGTTCACGCCTTTTAATCTCGAGTCCAACGTCAAGGCCTTCTTCGGACTTGAGATCTCTAATCTCATTCAGCAATTCTTGTCCAGCAGATTCCAATTCGACTTTACATCGATCAATTTGAAGTTTTGGCGCAATCATTCTAGTAAAAGCATCCCTAGTATCACGTTGTGACCTAGGAAGGTTTCTAGATCCGCGACCTCGTGGTGCAGGAGTTTCATCTTCATCTTCATTCTCATCTGCGACTGCGACTGCGACCGCAGCCACTTGGCTATTGCGGTTCCTTCGATTCTCACTTTGAGTTCGAACGGTTGGTGCTCGACCACTACGAGTCACACGTCTTTCGACTTGGCCAGAGCCATTGTTGACATTAGATGCCATGGTAAAATTCGAGTCTGTCTATGACAGGAGCCAACTAAGTGAATAGTTGTTGAAAAGGGAAAGGAATAATCAAAATTACTAAAATTGGCACACTAAGTTAGGAACAAGTCCAGGTTTAGGTTCCCAATAATAGGTCCAATTGATTATGAAAGTTTAGGTGATATCAAATGAGACTAAAACATGAGCCGTGAAATGAAAATGCGTTGATTCAAAAGGAAAATCAGACGACAACAATGTTTGATTTGTGGGGTGGAGAGAAATCTGGGAAAGAAAGAAAAGCTTACGTAATCAAACGCTAGCGGCCGCCAACGTCGTTCCCCCAAGATCCTCATGTTGTATGAAATTGAAATTCACTTTGTTATTTTTCCTTAACTTTTATGACAATTCTATCTTAAATTCAATTGAGAATAGAACCACAAGTAGTTGATCATTCAAATTATCAATCGACAATCCCCCTACCTCAAATATCTCCTTCCCCCTTTCAAAGAAGTACCTTAACCTAACCCTATCAGAGGCTTGTTTCTCTGAACTGTGGGCGGATTAGGAATTCTTTTGAAAGTTTCCTTCCACTGTTTATGTGCTTAGCACAGCTCGAATCTTACTATAATCAAGATGGAGAAATTCCTCATGATCTTTAACCCAAAAGGGCCCAAGGAACCATCAGTTGATGCTTTTGGCAACTCAGTCTACCAACTTTGGAAGATTCATGATAAATGGAATAGAGAAGATGGATCATCTCTATATGAAGTCCAATTTTGGGAAGATTTTAAAGATAAGAATGAAATCTATTACTTTGATGAAGAATTTATGAAGAATAGGTATGGAGAAATGGTTGGGAAATGGGAAGCCTTGTATGGTGAGGACTGGAAACAGAAGTATGGTGAGTTGGGGCATATTTTGAATTCAAAAGATGAGAGATCAATATCAACTCCAAAGAGAAGATTTGAAGATACACCAAGTAAGTCAAGATCGATTGAGAAGAAATCGAGAAGTGGGAATTCTTCCATGTCGGGTGGAAATAATACAGGTAACTCTCCAGTTACTGGTGATAGTCATCCAAAGTATACTTCAATGCCTACATCATTTTCACCCGCATCAAGAAGTGAAAATTCTCCCATTTCAGGTGGGAATGATTCAAATGTGAGTAATCCTTCACTGGGTAATACTTCTCGTCCGAATAATGGTAATGCATATACTTTACTGCCTCCACCATTATTGCCAGAATCTTCCCAATCTTCAAGAAGATTGGCTACAACCCAACAAGGTAATGTCGGGCTATCTGGTAACTCTTCTGTCCCTTCTAGATTTACAAGACGATTAGCCTCAAGATCTTCAGGACCAGTCGAACAATCTGCGAGAGATCTCACTTCGAAAACTGGACATCCGGAATCTCCATCTACATCTAGACAACCTGCGAGAAGGATACCAACATCCTACCCCTCTTCCCTTGGACAATCTGCGAAGAGTCCAATTTCATCGTCGAATCAATCAAGGTCTGTGCCGGTAATTGGTCCATCTGCGGAGCATTCAAAAGTAAGATTTTCTCCTTTACAATCCGAACCTTTGGATTCTCCCGATCCCATGGATATCGATACGGAAATTCAACCGGCAGAGCAACTGAGGGAAAGTAGATACCGTCTTTACTATTCAAAATTCGACGATGACTTTGAAGAGATGGTCGACAAATTCGACGAAAGAGCATTCAAAGATATAATCAATTCCATACTTGAAAAAACTGGAGACGAACTTGCCGCCATTGAACAAGAAGCTATAGACGAATTAGGACCAGATGGGAATGTACAAATGGTTGATGTTGATGGTGGAGAGTATGCCGAAAATCCTGGAATGATACTTGATGCTTATTCCGATCGACTCATCGAAGCACATTCAAAAGGTTTGAGAGAATTGGTGGATGCTGCTTTGGATTTAGAAGGTTTACCTTGTGATAAATGGGTCAACAAAAGAAGGGAAGATGGCAATCTTGAGGTAATGAAACTCGAACTACTTTTCATGTCGGCATGTATTCATCCTGATGTGTTGAAACATCTTGTTCAAGGAGATTTGCCAAAAGCTTACTCGGATCCATCAATGATATCTATGAGAGCACATATGGCATCTATGATGGAAGGACATAAGAAAGAAAAGAGGATTTTCATTTATATCCATTATTTGGTCAACGAAATTGGAGTACCCCCCTCACCCTCAAAATTGGAACATGTTTTGAATATCGCTGACATTTACATTAGGGGATTCGGTAAACCTAATGATCAAGAATCATATCGAATTTCCAAAAAGATTGATGAAATTATTGGTACTCACAAGGCTGAACCCGATGGAAAGAGAAGGTATATCAAGGGCAATACTCAATATGAAGTTATAAATGAGTGGATTTCCCTTGTTCGTAAGAGGATTGAATTTGATCAATTCAAAAATCGATGGGATGAACCATTATCTCGTCCCATTTCCGAAGTCGGATTTGCATCAAGTCTTCAACGTTTGGATCAACATAGAAAGCATGTTAGTTCCAATTACATTATGAATTTGATTGAAGCTATCTTTGCAACGGAAGGTGGTATTTATAAAAATCATCAATATGTTATTTTTAATTGCGTTGAACCATGTCATGGAACATTTGGGGAAATTTTATGTTCCAGGTATGCTCAAGCTTATTCATCACATGGTGGAGGATTTTCCCATTTCGTTGCTGGTGTAAGTGCTGCGAATTTATATAAGCATGAAGAACAATATTGGACTTTAGTTAAAGAAGATTTGATAGAATCAAATTGGTTCAAACCAAATATTCGAAAGGAGATGAAGAAATTACGGGAGGCAACAAGGATTCATCAAAGAATTCAAACTTCAGCAGAAGAACAAGATGAACAATTGGAAGAGATGATTGATACAACGAAGAAACTGCGAGATTTGAAAGGACATTTGGCGGATAGTAAAGAGAAAGTCTTGAAAAAGACGGATGAGTATTTGAGTGAGATGGATTCTATGTTGGAACTTTTAGAATTGATTGAATCTGGTGATTTAGATGATTTAGATGATTAGATAGTTGAATAGAAAGATTATAACAAAATTATGAGTTAAGGAATACTTCCTTTGCGTCCATCCTATCGGTTTTCCTGCAATTTATTCAGCCCGGTCTTACCTGTTTATCTTAACCTCAAAACTCCTACCCATCATAATTACCCCGCCATAATTACCCCGCCATAATTACCCCGCCATAATTACCCCGCCATACCAACCCGCCATACCAACCCGCCATACTAACCCGCCATATTTACTCCGCCATATTTACTCCGCTATGCGTGCCCTGTTACACCTCACTCACTACCCATGATGTCCTAAATGTTATCTCATATTGTGTGAATTGATAATAAAGACAATCCATTCCTCCTCACTTAAAGTAAATTGTAGTGAGAAATACCATAAGAGAGAGATAGGTATTAATGGAGCTATAGACTAGAGAAGGATTTTTATAATTATTGTACCCAGGAGTGTAGACACAACGATAGAACCACCAGTAAACCCTCTCACCCCTTTATCTTCAGATAGCGAGTTGAATATCGATTCCTCCGGCATTTCTTCTTGGCTTCCCACTAACTTCATACCGAAATTAATTCCTGAATTCCTTCCTAATCTTATGTCTTCTACTTCTTCCTCTTCCTCTTTCCTCTCGATATTTTCAGAGTTTTCGTAAGGAAGGTAATCAAGCAATCTTTGATTAATGACAAACAGAGGTTTTGTGGATGGAGAACACTCTGCTTTCACCTGCAATGTTGTTAGCATCTTATTTCTTAGGGATCGTGATAAGTCTCACATTATTCTCCTTCACTACAACACCATCGATACTCCGTCGTCCCAAAGACCGAAAGAACCCCTCATTTCCGCATACGCCCTGTGTCTTTGTTAGCACCTTATATCTTTTGGATTGTAACAACACTCACACCATCCTCTCTACTCTGCCACCGACACTCCATTATCCAATGACAAAAGTAAACCTTCGACTGCCCAGTTCATCCTGTAACATTGTCAGACGCTAATCTCCAGGCAGATGTTATAAGTTACGCACTTCAACCCTGTACTTCCATTGGCACCCCTTCCTTTGGGGTCGGCATCGACTTGTCAACATTCGTCCACCCTGCATTGCTGTTAGTATCTTATCGTTTTGATATGGTAATAGTACTCACGCTATTCTCTCTCCTTGCACCTCCATCAACACCCCGTTCCCACTTGACATTATCATCGTCTTTCATTCTGCGGCTTCGTTAGCATTTAATCACCTGCGAACAAAACTAGACGACACTCTCCCATCATTCTGTCTTCATATCAAAGACCCGCCTCTCATTCGTTCCCCTTATTACCATCCTGATCGAACTAATGTAATCATCCTCATCATCACCTAGCGTATTGGTCCAGCCATTTGAAGTCAATCTCCGTCCATCATCAAAAGAACAAGTCTTAAGTAGGGTTAAGAAATGAAAACCTTCTCAAACAGCCTCTTGGTGTATTTATTCCCCTCATTATAAAAGTAAAGCTAAGAAAACTTCCTAACCTCCCACAGCCGAGAGAAACCAGTCTAACGTAGGGTTTAGAAAAGAAGTCACCGAGCTTTTTGGTACACTCATTCTCCCTCAATATAGTGAAGGTGCTGAACCATATTTACTGCAAAGTCTAGTTACACTAGCACAAATGCAGGGTCTTCAGAAGCCTGGCCTTCCTGGTATATTGATTTCGCACTTTTCAGAGCCTCTTTTCTGCCAGTGTCAAAAGAACAAGTCTAAAGCGGGGCGAGAAGAAAGACTCCTTTTGAAAAGACGAAATTAATGTACCATTTATCGACATTGAAGGAGGGAATAAATCCGGGATACAGCCGAGAGAAGACCCACGAAGATGATGATGAGGACGTAACAGGAAACAACCAGGATCGAGATGTCTTGTAAAGTGACGGCAACGTCGATTCGTGAGCTTCGCGCGACTGTATGAATATGTTAGATAATTGGTTCTGCAGGTTGATGTATCCAATCAAAAATCGGGGATAGGTGTTACCGTTGAGAGAGGCTTCTCTTGCTTTATCTTTTGCGGTGGTTGAATTTGTTCGATCTATCGTACTCATTGTCAGTTGACGTATTAAATACTTTCTCTTATCAAGATGGACGAGGTGAGAATGAAGGAGATATGTAAGATACTCAACGAAAGTCTTATGGCAATTTTGAAACCACTTAGGAAGAAGAGAAAATACCTTTGATGGAATGACTGATGGATATGATCAAACTTTTCGAGGCCATTGTCATGTCGTGTCTGTCGAAGTTGCCGAAAAACTGAGGTAACATATCGAAGTGCAGAGTAAAAATGCCTAGTAAAGAAGAGATGGTTGGTGAAAGCGAAACAGTGAACCGTTTCAATACCGATTCTATTGTAGTGGGAGCGGCAGCGGATGTTGTTGATTCTCGATGTTTTGTTGTGGTTGTATATGAATATGATCAAAGATCAAATTAAGACAAAAGGTGGTTCCCGCAGTATGGGTATCTTGCTGCCTTCTAGGTAGCTATCTAGTACCTAGTCAAAGTAAACCACACTAAGAACTAGGTACTATCTGGGAATAACTCACTCATAACATACCTCAAATCTCAGCCGCAATCAAATTCTAAGTGATGATAGAAATAATTAGGCGGCAAGGCTAATCGTGCACCTAGGAAAGGTATTTGCCAAGGCTACTAGCCATCCCGCCCTTCATATTTCGTTTCGTGTCTCCAGCATAAAGCTACGAGAAAGTTATATTCACCGCTTAGACAATAAAATATACTCACCGACCGAAGATAGAGGAAGTGAGCCTCAGCCTTGTGTGTTGCAATCACGTGGTTCACTTCAAACTTCCCGCACGATGTATCAACACAAATCTTAGATCTTTCGCGATCTTCTTTTTTTCTTCTTCGAGCGACGCAACTTAACTGTAAGTTACCCCCCTTTTCTCATTCTCCAGAACCTGCTGCAAACACACGGAGAACCTCCTACCTGGATCAAATCAATTGAAATCAAAAACTGGAATGCGCTGTTGTTGGAGACTTTGAGCGCATGTGCCGGTCGTGTCGCTGACTGCAGATATCAATGCCTCAGCGGCAAGTCGACAACCAACTCATGTCGATACCTCAACTGAAATGCGACATTCAGCGCATGTTAAACTCTCAAGCTACCTCCGACATTCGATTATTTCGATACCACAAATCAACTGCGACATTCAATAGCAGGTCCCAGCTCGAAGCCCAATAGGAATTTACAAGAGTCTCCGCTAACGTATTCTTCTTTCGCAGTACCAAATATTTACCAATAGTATCTATTGGTAGAACTAGCATACCTTGGCGCAGAACCCACTGCTTCCTAGAGAGCGTGGGCCCTATAATTATCGACCTTACCCTTTTTTAAACTTTCCTTTCGGTGCAATTCACCAGTCGACGAAAGTCTTCTGGTCTTGCCCGTTGGAACTTTTATAAAAGTTTCATCTCCCTTTTTTAATTCGATTATTATTCCTTTCAAAGCAGATTGCCAGTCGACGAAAGTCTTCTGGTATTGCTTGATTGGATTTTTTTTCGAATTTCTTCACCCCCCGCTCTCTTTTGAGCAAAAAGTCGGTCGCTTAACAAGCCCGAATAATAAATACAATGGCATCTAATGCTAACACTCCTGCCGCAGGTCAAACTGCTGGTAATGGAGCACCTGCCGCACCTGCCGGACCACCTGCTCCTGCTTCAGCTCCAGCAGTAGAAGTCGACATTGGCATAAATCAACAACCAGTGATCGAAGAAACCAGAAAGCGCAAACAGGAAGGTTTCGAAGACACTCGTCCAAAGCGATTAGGAATGCCCAAAGATGAGGCTAGTCCAGAAGAGCGTGCTTTGGCTGCGTTCAGGATCATCAAAAGTGATCTTGGGAATTGGTACGTTAGAAATCGAGGACGTGATTACCCAGGTCCAAAGACTCTTGCTGGTAAGATTAATGGAAGCAGATCTGCCATCCTAATTCTCAAGGAAATTGGGAGAGGTGCTACCGAAATGCTTAATGTTAGAGTCAAGTTTGATATGTTCAGTCAAGCACCAAGATTGAGAATATTCGCTGGTGAATATCACTTCTCTTTACATAGTCACAATTTTGTTGCTATAACTGCAACCAATCAAATCTGGAAGCAAAAGGTCCATCTAGTTACTGGAGCGAGTGATGAGGCTAAGAATGCCAGCAGGGCAGAAATTGCGAAGATTCTAGCGACAGACTTCCAAAGTTCATGTCAAAGAGATGTTGATCGATTGATCGAATTCGCCCAACACAATAGAGAACCGCTACTCGATTTTTTTGGATTTAATTTAGGTGGACCATTCTATTGGGATGCGAAACCAGAATCAGCCGTCGATCTCGCAGTAATGGAAGTGTTCATGAGTAAACTCAGCCATGGTAGATTCCACGCAACATTGGTGCGCTCTCTTAAACCCGTCGCTAGAGCGGCTTTTGAATACCATGACGCGCATTGGAAATCTCAAATGGAAGCCAGCATCAGACATGGTACTTATCCTTTCTATAGGAAGGTCATTGGAGATACAGCTGGAGAAGTATTCGAGGACTGGGAGAAGGACCCCAACATCACGCTTATGCATCAAAGATGGATGAGACATCCACATTTCGCAGAAGAATTGAAGATTTATGCATCTCATGCAGCACGAAGATCTTTCGGTTCACCAAGAGATATGCAAATCGGCTTGAGTCTTGGTGTCATTTTTGAAGGCATGTGGGAGAAATACAACATCAGCCGTTACTTCAGTCCTGAGTTTACACACCAAAGTACAGTCAAGAGCAGAAAAGGACCTTTCATACAATTACACGTAACTGTTGAAAAGGATGAGAACTTTGCCATGCCTGATGTCGCTCCAGGTACTCACATGAAGTTTACCGTTGTACCTCTGCCTATTGATCCAGAAGCACCAAAGGAACCAGTAGCCGATCTTGGATTTATCATGGTTAAGGGTATGAAGCAAAAGAGAAAGGCAATGCCACCTGGTGGTTGGATGCCTGCAACTGAGGTAGTTAACGCTCGTGTCCTATCAGTCGACACTCAGATGGACTTCGTTCTTGGATTTCAAATCGTCAAAGCAGACCACCAAAAAGCATTCAGCAATAATGCTAATTTAGAGATTTGTATCGAGATGGATAGAAATACGATCCCCGCCAATCGCATGTTGATGGCTATTGCGAAAATTTGCGGTCCACCCAGGGCAGTAAACGAATTCAGGCAACGAGCGTTTCTCATGGGTCATGGTGTCGAGAATGTAGGTTCCTCTATTTATACTGAATTCAAGGATCAAATGACCAAGCAACAGAGAGGTGCTTTCGACTATTTGTGCAAATCAATGGACATGAACAAGCAACAATTGCGTGCATGGGAGTTGATGTTTTACAGCAACTGTCACACCAGCCTTCTTCAAGGTCCACCAGGAACTGGAAAGACAAAGACTGTTGCTGGTCAAGGTTTAGGACTTGCATTATGTGGAGTGAAGACTCTCATTACTGCTCCTTCGAACACAGCCGCAAGAGAAGTAATGATCAAGCTTCTGGATATGTTGGCCACTGTCCGTGAAAAGTTCCCTCAAGTTGATGAATGGTTTGACATTGTTTATCTTCCAACTCGCGGTACCACCATATCCGATTTGAAGGAAGCTGACATTGACTGGGATTCTCTAGCCTATGGTATCGTTGTAGAAGGAGAGAATCAAACTGGTCAAGCCGGCCTTGATAAGAACGCTCTCTGGAAACACGTGGTTAAGTCCTTTGAAGAGGATGCCGAGAACAGAGATGACGCGGAGAAACAACAGGTTGCCAAGCAATGGTTGATTACCCTCAAGCATTTCAAGAACTGTGTGCCCATCACTTCAAAGGAGAAGAAGAAGTTCTTCTTGAGAGCCGAGAGTAAGACACAGGAGATCTTTACTTCCTTGACTTCCACGGTGAAGATTGTGATTTGCACTTGCAATACTGCACATCTCCTTCAAGGATATGGTTACAAGCCACAAGCCTGCCTCACGGATGAAGCTACATTCGGTGCTGAACCAGAAGTCTTGATTCCAGCCGCACTGTGCGCTTCCAAGAATCAATACTCTGGTGATCACAAGCAATTGCACCCAGTCGTTAAATCTGCCGGTCACAATGAGTTCTCAAACCAGTTGGGTCTGTCGTTGTTTGAGAGATTCTTCAATCATCACAGCGTTAAATTGGTGAGATTCAACATGAATTATCGCATGCCCAAGGAGATTGCAGATTTTCCAGGTACAGCAATCTATGAATACTTGACTACTCATTCTTGTACGTTGGAGGAAAGCGATACGTATAGATATATCCGACAGTGGTGGGATTCCGACAGTGCAGAATCATACAGAGAAGCTCGCCGCGCACCAGAATATGGCGGACTTAAGAACCTTCAAATTCGTCGCCTATTCATCAACGTGAAGGGAGGTAAATCGGCACACAAGCAAGGGAAAGCATCGAAGAAGAACTTTGCCAACATCAACGCCATCAGCGATTTCTTGATGAACCTGTTCAGTCATGAGCCTACCAATCAGATTCCGAAGATTGATCTTGATAAAATCACAGTCTTGTCACCCTATAAGGAGGAGGTTACTGTGTTATCGACACAGATCCAAACATCACTCGGAATCAAGTATCGTGGTCTCAAGAGGTTCCCTCGGTTTCGAACCATCGATGATGTTCAGGGCGGTCAAAATGAGCTGGTTTTACTTAGTATCACACCTGCTGATCAGCATAATGGTTCTCTTATTGGCTTCTTGAGCGACTGGCACCACATGAACCTCGGCTTGACCCGCGCTCAAAGTAACCTGGTAATTTTCGGAAATTTGGATATTTGGCGCTCACAACTCCCAGCACTTACTAGTACTTGCAAGAACTTTGGCTTCATGATTATCGACCTTCTAGACCGTGGTGACATCATCGACGTTGATGGACTCAATGCCCTGCCAAAGAACAAGGCAGAGAGGCTCGCTGGTCCTGATGCTTATACGGTTAAAATAAAGGAGACTCCCGCCGCTGCCTCTAGATTGAGCTATCGGTTGCAACAGTTGGTGGATGGATATAACAAAGAGGAATACGAGAAGCTTCTCCTCGATGAATGGCAAGCCAAAAGAGATAAGGCCATCGAGTACCAGAAAAAGGACATTGATGAAGTTGCTCTTGATACGTTCGCTTTAGGAATTAGTGATAGCTATGAAGGCGAAGATGATTCTATAGATAGTTAAGAGTTAATTTACATTTCCTCTTCGAGAGTATTGACTCTTAATCGAAATGACATGTGACGTGACGTTGAGAATGCAGACGCGCTAACCTCAACAACGCCGGCGAAACGTGATACCGATAGGTTACCCGAGGTACTGCCGAGCGACGTAGGCCAAAATTGATCACCTCAAGAAATTCTGTCAATAGTATGAAACAAATCCTTAGATATTGTTAAGTTATAGTACCATTTAAACTTTTGATTCTCTGAATTGAAATGGAACAATCGATCTATTGAAGGCTTTTGCCAGTGGCCAATTACGGTATTTCCTCATACGAATAGCCTCTACATCAGCGAAATGACAGGCAGCAATCGCCCATCACCAGCACCATCAGTTGCAATCATTACCCTCGCATGAATTCAGTGGCCACCTTCTCCAGGATATCGAACTCCAAGATAGCTACCAGCGCGTCAATCTCCGTCGCATACACCTGCAATGAATCAGTCACCTAGGTTTGAATATCCAATTCCTACCCTAATGCAAGCACATTTCGGAACCAATCTCGATCAAATCAACCTTCGGCATCTACCTAGTACTAATGTCGTTCCACCATGTTATCAATTTTTGATGAGTAGAAGGTTAGATGGGAATATAACGATAACGAATGTTCCACCTGTATTGATTCAAAAGATGATGGATCAAGATATCACGCATACTAATATATCATACCACACAGACTCTTTTCACACTTCATCTTTCATCAGACTACGCAAAACCCCCGAAAATTTAATGACCTGTGTATAAGATCTCTCTCTTTTTCATATTCTCATATCTGGGTATCTATTCTATACATTGATATACATTCATTCATAAGTTTTCATTTATCCTCCGATTTTGGCTTCTTCTCCCATTTAAACTTGTATGGTGGACCATCGAGTCTTGGTCTATGGATATCGCGGGTAGTGACAGGTTGTAGTGGTTCTAAAGCGGTAGAGCCATTGTACATACTACCGGTACCTTTAAAGAAACTTCCGTTGTGACGTACAAGATACTGAGGTTCTGCAGGTTGCTTGGGGACTCTTGGAGCACCATGCATAGAAGCAGAACGTCTGGAAGGAGCTGCATTTTGTGGTAACTGTCGTTGAGGCTGCTCGATTGGTCTTGGAATATTCTGTGTGCTGGCAGAAGTACCATGCTGTACCTGGTTTTGTGGTTGTCCAATTTGTCCGATCAATCCATGGTGTCCCGATGGTCCCTGTGGTACCCGTAGTCCAGCTTCTCTTGCTACGCCCGGAACATTCCGCATACCATAACCTCCTTCATCAGATACATTTGCTGATCTATAACGAGGATCAGGATGTCCAGAATTTCTTGGGAAATAACCTAACTCACCAAGACTTTTACCATTACTTCCATGTCGAGATACGAAGTATGGTTGATTGGTAGTAATTTGTCGATTAACTCTGCCATACCCAAATTGTGTGGCAATGAGCTCCGCATCTGTCATTGGTCTCATTCCTGGTGTACCTGCCAAAGTGTTGCCGGTAGGTTGTATTGCTTGTCCCGGCGTATTGAGAATCCTACTGACTTCCTCGTCAAGGTTCAATCGTCTCTCGGAAAATTGTGTAGCTTGTTCTGGATTTGTAGTGCTGCTTCGCGGTACCATATAATCACGATAATCAATGAAGCCTCTGGTCTCACCGCCTCTTGAAGGCTTCATCACTGGAAATGGCGAGACTGTAACTTCCTCCACTTCACTATCATCATCATCGATAACAATAGGTTTGTTGATTCCACCTCCGAGTTCTTCTTTCCTATCCACGTCCATCTCTGATTTCTCAATAGCTTCTCCGTTAACGGCATTCAATTTTTCCGATTCTTCAGCCCACTTCTTCTCGGATCTCTCGCAACTAGCCTTGAATTTCTCACCGGACTCGAATTTCTTGGTACAATCTTGACATTGAATGAAAAATGCAGTTGGGGCCTTTGCGAAACCAAGAACATCAAACTCAGGTAATGTATCTCCGATAGGTTTGAAGGTTTTCCAGTCAATACAATCCTCACATTGTGCCTTTTCGCACCATCGACACCTGTAGAGCATTCCTCCAACATCACCGACCTTTTGCTAGATTAGGGGAATAGACTAAACAGTTTAAAATATTTACAAATACTTCATAGACTTATATAGTAGGGTGATCATCTGGTTTGAACCACGGAATTCCTGCTCAAACTCGTTCATTTTTCGACCAATAATCATCCTCCTGGCTCTTACATTTAAATCTTTCCAATACCTGCATTGGCTAAAACGCTAGCCTTGACAACACTGGCCGAAGTAGGAGTAACCAAGTACTAAACATCAGGTGGTTAGCAAATTTATATACCAAAAAACATTAAGATGATTTAGATGGAAATGAATCAAGTCAGTAGAGGGACTAGATGATGGAGTATACTCACAGCTGCATCATATGCCTTAAATTTAGCCAAAGCCGCTACGACTTTAAGACTGGGCCAAGTACCAGAGTTTGTAATGGTGTTGACAGGACAATTGCGGCCAAGATAAGATGCACAAGCAGTGGAAGATGCAGAGTCTGGAACATTGTAAGTGTTACCAGCTGTACCATCGAAAGGTAAAGTAACACCTTCGAGGACGTTGCCTTCGATGAGTGAATAAGTTCCGTCATAAGTTTCGAAATCGTGACCAGCGTTATTGGCCATGTAGTTATTGGTAACTTGTACGACAGCACCGGAACCACTAATCTTTGGTGCACGGCCTGATAAGTTGTGCCAGTAGTTTCTGTCGAGTGTGAGGAGATCACCAGGTCCGTTGATCATCATAGTCCCTGATTTGAAGAGAATAAATTAGTAAAATTCTTGACATGTTTCTATGAACCTTTTGATCTTTTGTTTTCCTTTTCACGTAGATCCGGACGCGTAGAATTGAACCATAATTAATAAAGGATAACAACTCACAGTAATGATTGGCATTGCAGGTAGCGGAAGTTGTGGTGGTACCATAAAACTCACAATTAGAAATTGTGAATTGACTGGCGGCAAAACTGGTAGGGAGGTTAGTACAGTTCAAAAATAAATCTTCAGGATGATATCTACTCACTGAGAAACAATCATTTGTCTTCCAATCAGACTGAACTTGCAGTGATCGATCCAAACACCTCTGCTTCCCTCCAAAGAGATAGCATCTCCACCCCAGACATGACCAGGATTGATGTTGGTAAAATGAACATTCTGGATAATGATATTGGTACTAGTAGCAGGAATTCTAAGTCCCTTACCAGCGATAACACCAGCGCTACCAACACCCAAAATGGTTTTCGAGGAACCGACATCTAGAGGAGTAGGTCCGGCAGCATCGTAAGTGATACTAGTGGAAACGATGTTGGTTCCGGTGCAACTAAGGGTACCAATGTAGTCTTGACCACCATTGGCAGGCTTGCAGCCTGATTGATAACAGCCTGAAGCAGTAGCTGATCCTTCGGTACCAACAAAATTGAAAGTCTTGTTGATAAGAATTACACGTGGTGTACTATCAGCGAGCCATTGTTTGAGTTGAGCAATATCAGATGGTGCCGCAGCTACTGCAGAGCCGCCACCAGAAACTCCTTTGGCAAAACCGTATGCGGATCCTGAAACAGTAGTTGCAGCATTGATGAGAGGAGCGAGAGCTAAAGTAACGAATGAAATCAACATTGTAGGCGACTTCATTGTGTCGACTGGTAGTTTGAAATGATGAAAGTGATGATAGAGTGACTATTGAGTATTCCAATATATAAGTACTCAAACGGGTTCTTCTTATAAGGAGATTCATGCCAAGATTTATTAATCTACCTCTTTCCCCCCTCGTGGTCTAAAATATCTAGCTGATCCTATTGGCTATTGTACCGATAATCCATAATATCCTTCATTAATTAATTTATTACTCTCATTGTTGAAGTCACACTCCGCTTAAAAGCTTAAGCGTTTAGTTAGATTGAGAAAGTATAATTTGCAGTTGCCGTTCAATAACGTTTATACAGGGATCTACACCGACCCAAATCTGTGCCCCTCGAAACGGAATAATTATTTATACATTGAAGAACGCGTGTTGAGAGGAACAAGAAGCTCCCGTGCCTGTGATTTATTTATTTTTGACTACAATTTAGTTCATCTGATGACATGCTGCTAACCTATTTAAATTCTTGGCACTTTAAACGAAACACTAGATTCAATAAAGATGGGGGCGAGCATCAATCAAAACTGTGAGTACCGATGCATCGGAAAATAATTATGAAGCTAGAGTTACCCGAAGAGTCGGTTGATTGACTTTTCTGGGTCGAGTACCGTATTCTTTTGGAATATTGGCCGCGCGCTAGGAAGGGCTAATACTTTAAGGTTAATTTAGAACCAATTGGCTCGCTTTTCAGTGGAGTCAAATGCCTCAAAATAGAAGTTTTTAACAGAAATACTAGGCATTTGATGAATAATCCATTAAAGAAACGAATCAAATAACTCCGGTGGTTACCGCAACCCTAACCCACGAGCCTTAGTCCTTCCTAGCGCGCGGCCAATATTCCAAAAGAATACGGTACGTCTATCATTCAGGGATCTTCTTTCAAAATGACATCCTCTTCATAATTTTGAAGAGAAATCATACATAACCCATGTAGAACAGCTGACATTTCGATATAGGGAGGAGAACTTAAGCTTTTTTAGTCAATCATCATATTCGATGCATTGGCCAAGAAGAATGGGGTTGATTCAGAGCTCGCCTTAAATTTAGTATAAAAGACCCTGGAAATGGTACGGGCTATCGAGCCAAGTCATAACTGGTGTGAGGTCTCGACTAAAATCTCGATAATATGAAACTTCATTCGTCATTCCACCTCGTAGAATCCCAGGAACTCTTTTGGATATAAATACTTAGAACGAAAGCTTTTATTTCCAAAAGGTATGACGGCTACGACTATCAGCGATGATGGAAGTTAGTATTTTTTTGGAGTAGATGTTGAAACTATAAACTCTGGGTTAATAGATTTGAAGTTCCGAATGAAATAAATTGATGGACAATTTGAGAAACATTTCGGCATTGTTTCTTCGGGGTTGTTGTTATTTGCGCATAAATTCTGTTTGTTTTCCATCTCTTATATTAAGTGGTAGTGAAAAGAAATTATCCAAGTTTCATCAAAACGGAATTGAGATTCCGTGATGTTTATGGCAAGATGATCAACTTCGATTTTCCAGGAGAATTATCCAGGGCTCCTGTAATGAAATCGGAGTTATTTTTTGACGAATAGCAGCGCTTAACATGAATATTTACTAGTCTTTATCTCTATGATGAATTAGATACTGAGTTACGTATTTATCCCAGTGGTGGAATTTATTATGTAGTTACGGAGGATATATCATACAGTTAACTTTTCTAGATGTAAAAACCATATCACACGCACAAATAGATAGTCACCTTACTACCCAAGAAAGACTAATTTCTTGTCTTTCAAGGTAGTTTGAAAACCATCATAGGTGTAGTACTTGGCTTTCAGATTCATGACCTTATAGTTACATTCTTCATCAATTCTCCATCAATTCTCCGGAGTGGCGTTGTCATTTCCTTTCCTTTCCCAGGTTTGATAACAGCATTCAATTTTATCGAAGAAAATATAACTTAGTAAAAGAAAATCACTACGAGAAAGCACTTGTCTATAAACATGGAAGAATTCATTCCAACATTCTGACAAGAGCACACATATATGAACATTCATCTCCTTCTCTTCCGTATTCAACTTCAAATACTTGCGTTTATTGGAACCCACACGAACTTCTCTATTTAAATCTCTCTCCACACTGACCCCACTACTTCCCACAAACCTTGTGGGGACGGAAGTTATCGCACCAAACATATTCACTAATCTTCAATCAACGTGATGCTCTCTAACACACTACTTCCATTAACCTCTTTACCAAAGCAAGAGTCTCTATCTTCTGCTATCCATCACAAAGTTGTCTTTTGATATGCAGAGCAAGTGGGATTATTAATAATGTGTACATTCAAAGCCAAACCAAAAGCCAAATCAAACCCGAAATCAAGTATTAAAAGAAGATTATGAAATGGCAATGACAGACAGCCATTGAAGCTCATTATCATTATCAGTGAAATTGTATGAATGACTATATTCATTACCGACACTTGTCGTATCTATCCACGTTGTAATATATTTCTAAATTTGGAATGGAAGAAATCGAAACCAGCTCAAAATTCCGATTTTCCTCTTCAAGTCGATCTATGAAGACTTTCCGAAAAGACATAAAAAATGAATCTTTCCTTGACCGAACCATTTCATTCCAATTGGTAATTTATAAATAATTCCGAAATCATTCAAGCCGAAACCTAACATTTTCCACCATCCCATCGTCTCTTGTGATGGATTTTATTTCAAAATCCCCAACCCGTCAACACATTCGTAAAACCAAGTCTTCTCGAATTTAAATGCAAATTTATTATTAGATACATACCTGCTATCCCATTTACACCCGTTCATATTCGGGGTATCGTTCTCTCCTATAATACACATCCACATATTCGTATGTCTATCATGAAACGCCTTTTGGTAATTCATCCATACCATCTTGTAATAAATGAAAATTCAACTCTCATCCACACCATAGTAACAAATTCAACCCATCTCCATCTCAGATAATTCAACCCAACTCTTCATCAAACATTCAACCCCAACTCTTCATCAAATAATCAACCCAACTCTTCATCAAACATTCAACCCCAACTCTTCATCAAATAATCAACCCAACTCTCCATCAAACATTCGACCCCAACTCTTCATCAAATAATCAACCCAACTCTCCAAATAATCAACCAACTCTTCATCAAACATTATACCCATTACCAGTTCCAACACCATCTAAATCCATAAATTGATCAATATCTGGTATAACAACACTTGATTGTGAAATTATTGATTCAGGAAAAATATTATCAGTTGGAGGACCATCTAAACCTCTACCAACTTGATAATTATCTGGAACGGATTTTCCTAATGTTGTTCTTCTATTCTTTTGCCTCTTTCCAGTTCCTCCAATAGTATCACCTCTTCCATTCATCCATAAACTAGCATCACTAGTTTCACCTCTTCCAATACCAAGTTGATAAGCTTCCATACCTCTTAAAACTGGTAATAAAAGTCGAGTTTCATACCAACGACCTTTTATATCAGCTAATCCTCGACGAGCTGCTGGTTCAAGTAATTGCCATTCATACCAAGTACGTTTCTTAGCATTATCTGCTACTTCATTTCGAAATCTTAAATCAGAAACCATTCGAGGAGGTAAATCTGGTGTTGGCCATTGTGATCGATTATTATATGGCATTGGCATTTCGACAAATTTGTAAATATCTCCCACAAATGTTACTACAGTCAAAAGTGGATTGGTTTGTACTGTACGTTCAATGAGTTTTTGAATGACGAGAACCACAATTGATTCCCCATCAACACGTAAACGAACTGGTTCACCAACCCAAATCTTTTCGGCTCCAAGAAACATTCCATTGTAATGAATTTCTCCAGGAGATACGATAGCTTTTTCAAGTCTATCAAATAGAGAATAACTTCCATCAATAACTTTTGCTGCCAAGATACTACCATCAACTTGGTAATCACCTCCACCATATTCACCTCGAACAATACGATCCCAAGGTACTTCATCATAAGGAATGTTGTTAATTGAACTGATTGTCGTTTGAGGTACACTCCATGCAAGCCAAGGTCTAATTGATTCTTGATCCTTGATTTGAGCAGGTGAATGTGAAAGTGGATGAGAAAGTGGTTGAACCAAATATTCCGCTTGAAAATGTTCATATCTTCTCTTTGATACAACTGCGAGACCCCAAGCATGTCCTCTATTAAACCAAACCAATTCTCCTGTACGATAAATGAGTCCAGTATCAGGTGTACTATCGAGTTTTTGTTCTTGTGATCGAATTATTGAAGTTGGTTGAGGTGATGATTTTGATGATCCAGATGTTACGGATCCAGGAGTTGTAGATCCGGAAGAAATGATCTTTTGAGGTATGCTAACAATTGGCATGCTATCCTTTTTGATTTCCTTCTTTGGAGCTGGTATGCTGACGACCGGAGTTGTTTTGTTTATTTCCTTTTTCAATATTGCGCCATTATCTCCTTCTTCTTGTGATTCATCCTCTCCAAATGGTGAACAAACTTTACATGAACAATTCCTTGGGTCGCCATCTGGATCCGTACTTAACCAAAGTACATGGGGGAAAAAATCTGCCGGACTTCGATATCTTTTCTTTCGACCTTGTGGATGTCCATATAAATATGTATCTTGTCGTTCGTAAACTCCGGCTGTGTGTCGACCCTTTTCCTTTTTCATCTCTGCTTCCAATTTATTCTTATTATATTTGAGGTGTTCCCATAAAACATATCCTTCAGGTAGATCTTTAAGTACGTAATTCCGATCTGCGATGAAGTTAGTTGATGATGATGAAACTTTGGGAATGTTATATATTACCAGAATGTTCTTTTCCTCCTAAATAATTCATCAACATGCCACCAATCTTTCTTCTCCAATCTATAGCTTTTGGTTCATCATAATCGAGTTTCTTGTAAAAATCAACAATTCCTTCGGCATCTTCTTTATCATTCAATTGAGCTGGTGTTGGTTGATTTAATTCTTTGATTCCTGTCTTTGTAATGACTTCTAATTGACCATCTGATCTACAGATAGTAATAGGATGAAATGGTGCCATGATGGCAATTGTATGTGGTAGAAACAATTAATTGTTGATGATATGATGGTAACCTTGGATCACTGAGATAAAAAGTTGTGGGGTTGAGCTAGGTTCTAGTTTGAGTGAATCTACATTTACCTAGGTAATTATTACTAAGAGATTACTTATCCAGTGATGGTCGGATTAACTTGTTTCCGACTACCGGATTAACTTGTTTCCGACTACCGAAAAAAATAATTCCCCCTTTATTTTATTTGCTTCCAAGGTTCACTACAGATGCATTGTATAAAGACTTTGGATATATCTTTAGATTTTTGATGTAGAACTCTAAGAGTTGTTATTTGAGTGGGTTATTACTTAATCTATGTCTATTCTACCTCAAGAATTTACCCAAGTAAAGTTCCCTTCCATGTATTTTTATTTTCATAAATTCGAGTACCTCTTTGGGTAAACTAGCGGGGATGTTGATTGTGATGTAGACAAGGTGAATGTAGACCTTGTTCTCAAACAAAAGAAAATTAATCTCATCATATTGCTATCAAGATAAGATACCTTTCCCATCTAACTTTCATTCTCAACCTTCCATTACTTGCTATGTACCTTTGAACTTGTCATCATCTTGGCTCTCTACCACTTCATTTTGCTTCTTGTACTGCAAGAAACACTCTCCCTTTGATAATACTTAGTCTCTGATTAACGTTGCGCCTTTAATCAATACTTTTGTCTTTTACCGGAAGTTTTCGATCACGGAAAGAGCGCAAATTTTGGCCGTCAATTATGGACAATCCAGGAACCCCGCCACAGGGTGGTATCCTATCTCGCAGTAAATTTGATCTTTTATACTTCTTATTCCACAGATCTAATGCATTCCAAGGCATGCATAGATCAAATCAAGTCTCTTTCTTTATCATATTTCCATGGCGTTTCCCCCACACTATTCTTCTCATGACCCCTCCTTTAATTCTTGTACGGTACCTCTAAACAAACTTATACACCATATGATATCGAACGTATGTATTTATGCATTCTAACATCTACTCCATTCCTATACACTCTCTCATCTAATCCCCTAATCTTCATTTCCTATATCATTTCTCCATCTCGCACTTAGCCCCTTTTCCCACCCGATAGATCATCCACCCCACACACCCCTTCCACACACCCCTTCCACACACCCTCCACACACCCCCTCCATACAACCCAAAAATCTCAAAACATAACAAAAAGGTATCAATCAATCCTCCCAAGCCAAAACAAATAAAAAATAAACAAATTCCAAACTCAAACTTAAACTCAAAAATGTTAATGCGCATGCATGCATCCTATCCATACCTACACAATCAACGCTCGCTAATTCATCACCTCATAATTTTTTGTAATTCTTTCGAAAAGAATAATTTTCCAACATCTTCTCCCATCAATCCCCTTCTTTCATTCATATTTCCTATGCTGTGCAATGCAATGCAATGCAGAATCCGAACAATGCAAAAATGTAAATGCGTAAATGCTGTGAAAAATGTAAGAAGTTCCGATGTATATTTTTGTTGCCCATTTATCCGTCCATGTATCCGTCTTTTTCCTTCTCTTTCATTTTCTTTTTGGTCATTTTCCCCTTTCGATCATGCTCCTCGCTTCCCGCTTCCCACTCTCCACTCTCCGCTCTCCACTCTCCACTCTCCACTTCCCACTCCCCACTCACCACTCACCACATCCATCGATACCCCAAACCCATCAAACAACCACATTCACAGTCATCGGTCGTCTAATACTCAATCCCCTCAATTTCTCCTCCACTCTCCTCAACACCTCTGGATCAGGCTCCGGTACCACTTTCCGGGGAATAGCTATCATACACATATCACATCTAACATGCTTACACCTTGTACATTCTTGCATGTTAATTTTTGGATCCGAGGAGGATTGGTGAGGGAAAGTTTTATCGCATTTATGACATGCGAATTTTTTATTTGTAGAGGATGGTTGATCACCAGGGTAACCATCGGGGTATTTCTTTTTCTTGGATCTATTAGAATGAATTTGTTAGTTTGTGAATTTTAGATGAGAGATAGGGAAGGAATTAATTTTCTTTTCGAGCGAAGCGAGCTATGGGGGTTTGGGGGCTTGCCCCCATAAATAATACAATGAAATGAAATGAAATGACGCTCCGCTGGCCCTCCGGGGGCCACTGCCGTGGAGGCAGAATATTTTCCTCGACTACGAGATTGAGATAGAGAAATAAAAGTAAAGGGAGAAAAGGAAACTTACGGATTTCGAGGACAATCAGCACAACGAGTATGAGAACAAGTTGTACAAATTTTATTTCCAGCTGTGAAAAGAGTTGAACATTCATGACAAGTTCTTCTAACTCTTTGAGTAGGTTTTTTTCTAACCAAAGGTTGACCACCGATTTTTTGACTTGGTAAAGTCATGATTAATTTCTCGGGTTTTTTCCAATCTCTATCAACTTCGACTTTTGTTGGACCAATATTTGCAACTGTAGTTTTTCCTTTATCCTTTTTCTTTAAAGGATATCTAGGACATTTTGTACATCTTGGATGTTCGCAATTGGTACAAATTTTATTGGCACCATATGTTGTATCACATTTATGACAAGTTCTATGAATTCTCATTCGAATAGGTTTTTCGATTCTCCAAACATCTTTTTCTCCCGTAAGAGATTGCCATTCATGTGGTTCGATTTGTAATTGAAAACGTTCAGCTAATTTTCGAGCTCTTTCAGCATTAATTTCTGCTCGAGAAACTTTTGTTGGTTGAGACTGAGGTTGAGATTGAGGTTGAGATTGGGATTGAGATTTTGTTTTAGATTGTTGTTGTTTTGTTGTGTTAGAAGTAGTAGTTTTGGTATTGGTGTCAATAATTTGTTTCGTTTCGACGACGACGGGAATGGAGATTGGTATTTCCTTGGATGGTTCTGACGTTGATGTTGGTATTGGTATTGGTTTTGATTTGGATGCTTGATCAGTGGATTTGGGGATACTAAGAAATTTATAAATGATTAATAAATATAAACTTCAACAGAATGATATATATGAAAATATTTATTACTTACCTTGGTCCTGCTGGTGTAGTTGAAGTTGAAGACTTTCCAACAAATGATAATCTTTTTGATCCATCACTTCTTTTTAAAACTGTCTTCATTCGTCCTAAAACTCGACTTAATCCTTTCTTTTTATCATCATTTGATGTTGTAGGTATTGTTGATATTGCCGGTGCTCTCGGTGCTCCTTGCGCTGAAGAACTCATTGTTGCGGGGTCTTCTAAGATATATTCCGTAATCCGTAATCCGTAATTTGTAGTCCGTAGTCCGTAGTTCGTCTGTAGTCTGTAGTTCGTCGTCCGTACGTCGTCCGTAGTTTGTCGTCCGTATGTAGTCTATAGTTAATGTCGATCTGTCGAAATTGATTCTTGGATTTATTGAAATTAATTCGTCAAGGATTGAATTGATGAAATTGATTGAATCAATATTGAGGAATGTATGTCGAAGAAAATCCCTAGAAACCCCAGATACCCAACACTCGAAAGTAAAATTCGAAACCCTTAAATATCAAATTCGAGATTCCATCAATCACTTATACTTTTTTTTTCCTCCTCTCTTATCAAAAGTGGCGTATTAATCTCCTTATAGAATAAATCCCCTTTCGATTCTTTGAGTGTGAAGTGTTACTACGATTAAACTTCAATCGATCATCTGCCTCGTGCGTTTCGGAACCAATGTACCGGTATACAGGGAAAATATTAGAGACCAAAAAAATAGGACGATAATTATATGTTGTGTCTTCCCAAAACTATTTTGTAAAAGGAATTGGAAGGTTGTATCGAATGATTGGTGTGGTAATCAATTGTCTTGAATAATTGTATGACAAAAAGATATATCAGGATGAAATGTTTGAGGTGATGGTTGGTGATAGTTGGTGATAGTTGGTGATAGTTGGTGGTAGTAAGTTGTAAGTGGTAAGAATCGTAATAAGTATATGAGTTGATGTAGTAATGTTGTGTATGTGTATCTTGACTATGTATATTATCAAGATGACTGACCTCTTTTATCAAAAGTTCAACTATATGTAGGTAGATATCGGTTGAAGAAAAAGAGGAGAGAAAAGGGAGATGGATGGGATGATTGGAAATTAGCGAGCCAGCGAGGCAGCGTGCCAGATAGACGGGACAAGAGAGAACCAAAAAGTAAAATAATGTGGGGGCTTGATAGTTCCCGAATAATCAAAATGCTTGGTATTTTTGATGGCTTGTCGTTGGTGGAGAATGGTGGAATTGCTTGAATTTTGTTTGGATACCGTGGGTATTGTTAAATGTATGTAATGTATCGATCGAGTTGGTTCCAAATGGATGGGATGGTAAATAAGATGATGATGGATAGAATGAATATTAGAAGTAATGAGATGATATATAATGATATGTGATGAGTGATAGATGCGATAGATGCGATAGATACAATAGATATAATAGATGCAATAGATGCAATAGATGCGATAGATGATAAGATGAGGTAAATGAGTTGAAATTTCGAATGATTTAAAAAAGTTGAAATCAAAACTATGGCGAGGTTGATTTCAAAAATGAAAATGTGAATGTGACTGTGATTGTAAAAGTAGGTAGTCTAAGTTCTTGAACCTTTCCTCGCTGACATACCCTCCTTGTACAACTCGAAAGAAAAAAAAAGTATTCGAGGGTTCACGAGTGATGTGTGAGTACTCGTATTTCGATTCGGGTGATGGTGGTCTTGATTGATTTTGGATTTGAATGATTTATAACAAAGTTATACAATTAACCACCCTTAAACTCCACTTCTCATAAGATTGTAATTCTGACACGTATCGAAGATTCGAAAGGAGGAGGAGTATTTTGAGTTTTGAGGTAAAAAGAGTTGATAATGTACTTGTGATTACTTTAGGTCTGGTTTGAAGTTTCTGTTGATATGCAACAATGAGGTGTAAAGTAAAATCATTCGATCTAGTTATTCGATGAGGATTTTTTCTAACAAGAAAAAAGGGTTCTGTTTTAGAAGAGGGGGGGTAGGATTGATTTGAAGGATGATTTAGAATAATAATAATATTTCATCATTCAAGGATTCCAGGCCAAAAAAGGTTTATGTCCGTAACTACGATATATACGATTAATAAACTTATTAGAGGGATAACCTCAAAACATATTTGTTACCTTACGGAGTATACTAGGGTATATTTTCACTATTCGTAGGGTTGGAAAACTTTAATCTATCCCTATTGTCCAATATCAACTTGAAAGACCTCCTCCTTTTCCCCCACTCACTCACCCACCCACTCACTATGTAAGGTGGATTTGAAGGATGTAGAGGAATAACTACAGGAGTAACCTCACAATTAGAACCTCTAGATGAATGTATGATCAAATTGTATAATTTTGGTATATGTCTGTAATCCTCTATGAATCAAAATACTAGAGTATTTTTGTTAATTATTCGTAAAATCTGATTTAATTTCTTAAGAGGTTATTAGGTATCAAACGGAATAGAATATTCGGATTTCTAGGAGTTCTCCGATTTCCCGAATTTTCATTGAATATCAAATCTACAACGGCTCGAGAACGGTAAACAGATACCGAATAGAGTCAAATAATCATCAAAAAAGTAAAGAATTAATAAAAATCTATATTTATCACTACCGGTATCTTTAAATCTTTAGATACCTCGGTAGGAGTAGATTTTATATGTTAATGATAGTTGATATCTACTATCTAAAGAGTCGAGTTCGATGATAGGTAATATTCCTTAGGGTATTTTGATCAATGAATAATATTTTTGTTATAGGTTAAACTCGGTCGAGACTCGAGAACCATAAAGATCTTTAAATATATATGATGATTGGATAGAATATTCTTTATTTGTTAATAGCCGTATCTTCCGATTTTTTGATATCTGATCAAATTAACTACTCTGTAAATATATAGTCAGTAGTATAGTTATGATAATCAAGATTAAACTCATTCGGTTATTCCTCCCTTCATTAATCGCGAAAATCTCCAGACAAGATAGTCAAAATATTTAATAATTCAAAGTCCCTCAAGAATATCATGAAATTATTCTTCTCAATTGGTATCTGAATTCGTATCTTAACAATCGAATCTCAATTCGTATCTTCAACGATTGAATCACCAATTACAAAAATCATCAACGCGTTCGGCAAATCTTCACATCGGAGCACCATTACTCAATTCATGTGAAAGGTAGGGTAACTTTTTGATACCCGTTTTATCTACCTATCGACCACGGAACCACCAAGTAGGTAAGTCAAGGATAAATAGGTAGAATGATACTATTCGGAATTTAGTTAAACAAGTCTACACCTACTGACCCACGAATTGAATATCCTAGTTAATGGGTGGTGTGGAGTGAAAGGAAGATATGTGATGATTTGGGAAATTGATGATTTACGTGTCGACCATCGACGACAAGGACGGATATCGTTTCAAATAATTTCTTCTTTCATTGATTCCTTGTTTACATACTCACCTCGATACTTCATTCACATACTCACCTCGTACTCCATTCACACACTCACCTCGATACTCCATACATCATCACATACTTCAAAAATCAGACAATCATAATATCATGAAACCAAACCCCCCATACCAAAGAAGAACGAAAAATATATATATCACAAACTGACATCACTCAAAGTATAAAAAATGGAATCTCCCATCAAGGATTTAAGAATTTACCTGTTCACGGCTTTGCATACGGCACGACCATCCCGTTCATCCCGCCATCCCATCCCATCCCATTTTATAAGTTTCAACCCAATAAACGGTAAAAAGCAAGATCCTCTCAAGATCCTCTCAAGACCCTCGACCCTCAAGACCCTCAACCCTCAAGACCCTCAACCCTCAATACCCTCAACCCTCAACCCTCAATACCCTCTCAAAAACCATTCCTTCTCTTGAAAATCCCTAAAGAATTATCAAATGGAACGAGCGTTGATTTGATCGACCCTAAAACCCCACTTAATCAGATCCATAATCGGATAGTGAAAGGATGTCACACACCCAAAAGTAAATATTATATTACCAGTGTGGCATTGTCCCCAAAAAATTCAAAATTATCCATTATGATTTGATACCCAAAAATCAAACCAGTCATCAATTTCTTTGTCATAATCAACCGGTACTTAAGTTGGCTTCTTTGGTGCCTTGCCATGGCATTGGTATTTTTCCCAAGAAATCCAAATGTGTACTCCGGTAATATTTTGGAATGGTCTTGGCTTTTTTTTACCCTGTATTTAACCTAGATATGGTTTGATCAATGATTTTGATGTGGATGAGATGAACGAATGAGGTGAGAGCTTTCGTATTTTACGACACGCATGATTCTATTCGTTACTTGTTCTTTCTTAAACTTTTTGAATTTACGGAGTACCGGTAGAGGGAAGTAAAGTTACTTGGTATGGAATAATAATAGATAAGGCATTCTTTGATGTCTACGAAGGAGATAGAATCTCATGTGAAATAATGGTAGATGAAATCTATAATTGTCGAAATATATACCACATGGTATTGAACAAATGATTTCACTTTATTCAATCACGATACAAAAACTAACAAATATACAATGTCATGTCCGCTGTACCTAGTCCTTCTCCTCTTTCTTCAACATATTAGTATACCTTAGTCTAGCATTACAAGGCATCACAAGCCCCCGAGCCCCCCTCACCCTCACCCCCTCAATGTATCTATCAACGTAATCGTACTACACTCCAGCCAGCCAGTCAATCAGCTTAGGTGCATACATACATACACATACACACACACATCCATACATACTCCGTGAACATACATACATTCATCCATGCATTCAAATTCCAACACAACATATTTACAAACTAAAATCATACAGAGTACTATCATCCTCGGCCTCGACCTCCTAGAGGTAAGTAATCCGGACCCATCCATTCCAAATAAACATTTATATAAATTAACCCCATCTGTACGCCAACACATTTCCAGAAATTCTTGCATCCCAATGCCATGCGGTATGAAGTCGTAGCATTGCAGGAAACGGTATCACAATGGAACATGAGTGCATGAAAATACATTCTATCCGTGTACGGAGCATATACATAAATTAATCCATCACACACACATCAAAATCTAAAGAGGGGTTAGATTATAATTGATATCTAAAGAATTGATTGGTTAAAGTACATTGGGGGGTGTAACGTAAGGTTTTGGGAATCTTCAATCGTTGGTTAAAT